AAATATAAAATCTCTCTCTCTCTCTCTCTCTCTCTCTCTCTCCCTTTAAAAAAACAAGTAGTGGAAGAAAGGTTTATTTAAAAAAAATTAATGGGAAAATTGACATTATTGCTCAGTCAAGAAAAGTTATGGTGTGAGCAATTTGATGTCATAATAATCTGAAAAAGATATTACTATCAAAATAAAAAAACAAAAAAAGAAATCCAGCCCAAATGGAAAGAGCTTAAGGACTCGATAGCAAAAATTTGATAGCAATCGCTTACTATTTGAGTGATTATATTTTATGTGTCATGCAAATTTTGTGATTTATACTAAAATTGAAATCTAACTTAAACACTTAAAAAGTGAAAAAATTCTAGTATAATTGAATTTAAAAAAACACTACCATCTAGCTTAACAGGATATCTATATCTATACCTACTTTAATTGTTTTAAATAAGAAATTTGTAGTTAATAAGTTAACTATGAATCCAACCATATAAAATTGCTGTTTTAAAAATAACCATCAGTAACCTCAATGAATACTACTCAGATAAAAGTATACAAATATCTACCTCTAATGCACCAAATAAAATGTGGAAGAAAATATCTGCCTCACTCAAAACTATTCAAATACCAGTGGCCACTTTTCAACTGGTTCCGTTAGTTCTATCCTCTCATCACCTTCTCAAGTTCAACTTGTTAGCTGACTTTCCTTTTTGTGGAACACTCAGGTAGGAGACTTGAGTGATCTCTGAATAGACTTCTGGGCATCTCTGAATCTCCTTAAATTTTGTGTAAAGTCTGTAGTGTGTATGTGTGCAAGCACACACATACATGCCTACACACAAGCATGATAAAGAAAGGGGCGTAGGTTTCATCAGACCCTGAAAGAAAATTATTATTGGGGTTTTCCACATAATTCCAAACTTGGATACTTGAAAATACAAACTGATGCCAAACATTTGCAGGCCCTGGGTTTGATCCCCAGACTGCAAATAAAACAAAACAAACAAACAAAACTGATGCCTGAAAACAAGCATAAGTTGGGACTGTATTTACCCTACCTAGAGACCACTGTTCTAGCACAAAATATGAGACCTATCCTTGGATTAATTTTGCACGTTAATTTATTTAATATGTAGACAATGTCTCTCCCATTATCACATATAATTTAGAGCTCTTACTTATTAGGCATTTGAATTACAACAGCAGCTTTATTCTAAACACTATTTCCTTGTTTCTTTTCTAGCTGGGTTTACTCTAAGTTTTAAGTCACCTGTTACCATGTTGTTCACTGGATAATTCTGAAGAGGGAAGTACATTTGCTTTTCTACAACTGGAGTCCTTATAAAATTCTTTTCTATGCTGTAAAGTGAAACATACAGTAAGCCATATATGTATGACATTTATATATATATATATATATCCCTGAAGCACAATCATTCAATAATTCTTTATAATTAAAAATGTTTAGCTATGCTATCAGCAAAAGAAAACACAGTACTCTATTTTAAATGATTACAGCACCTTTGTTATTCAGCATTCAAATAATATAGATACTATTTACTAGTATTTTCACACTTTACAATACCAAATTTAAAAAAAAAATGTCTGGGAAGACCATAAGATTCTTGAAGTGATTTTTCAGTTTACAAAAATTAAATCTGGCTCAGGAGGCTGAGGGCCTAAGCAACTCAGTGAGACCTTGTCTCTAAATAAAATATTTTAAAAGATGGGGAGGGCTATGGACACGGCTCAGTGATTAAGCACCCCTGGGTTCAATTCCCGGTACCAAAAAAAAAAAAAATTAAATCATGTTTATGTGGTCATGTTGTATAATTAGATTTTTAGAAAATTTTTTTAGTTGTGATGGACACAATACCTTTATTTTATTTATTTATTTTTAATGTGGTGCTAAAGATCAAACTCAGTGCCTCACACATGCTAGGCAAACACTCAACCACTGAGCCACAATCCCAACCCCTTATTTTAATTTTGTAAAAGCTAAAATGTTTTCAACTGAAATATCTTTTTTTTTTTTTTTGAGATGAGGTATGACTATATCACCCAGTCAAACCTTGAACTTTTAGAATCAAGTGATCCTCCTGCCTCAGTCTTCCAAACTTCTGGGACTACTGGTACACACCAGCAAATATCCTATTTGCTAACTATACAAATAACAGCACTTATCATACTTAGACTACATATATCCAATAGATAATAAATAGTAGGAAAATTAAAACCTTAGTAATTAAGAATAATTAATAAATGGAGTTATCCCTAACTTTATTAATTAAATTTATTTTCTAAAAGTATAAAACTAAATTAATAGTAAAAGTATTATTTTCAAATTTTAAAAAATTTAGATTTCACTTAAGTTCTTCCAGTGGAAACTATGTATCACTTAGATGAGATCCTTCAAATAAAACAAAATTGTGTTCTTAGAAAAGTTTGAGACTAAACCATCTTTGTATACAAAAGTAGAAATGTAAATTGGTTTAACTTCTATTCAAGGCAATTTGATAAGAACTATCAAAGATACATGCCTTTTGACCTAGTAATTTTTCTTCTAAGAAACTATCCTACATATATATGCAGAAATGCAAAATGACTACAAATAGTGCCAAAACACTGTTTTTAATAGCAAATTAGAAATTACCTACAAGTCTATTAAAATAGAAGACTAGTTAACTATGGTGAAATCATATAATGAATTATTACACTGTACAAAATGAAAAAGCTTTTTATGCTGTAATATGAAATCACCTCCAAGATACATTGTGAGTGAAAAAGAATACAAGGTGCAAAACAGTGTTTGTAGAGAAAAAAAGAAATAAAGAAATAAATTTAGATGAATTTTCTAATTTATTTATATATATACACACATATATATATAAATATATGATAATATTGATTGCTTCTATAGTAGTCAGTATATTTTTCTAGGACCCCTTTTTATATATCTTGGATTTCAAACCATGTAAATATATCATCCAAAAAAAAGAAAAACAGTAATAATAAGTAAATGCACATAGCTAAGGAAATTATTTTTTTAAGGAGTAATGAGTCTTGGATTTAATACTTTGTCAAGTATTAAAATACATAAATAAAGTTATCTAATTTAACACCTATTCTATTAATGGAATAAAACACATAGTTTAAATATAGATCTTCATGGTGAAGGGTGTAACTCAATGGTAAAGCACTCGCCTAGCATATGTAAGGCCCTGGGTTCAATTCCCAACACCACAATAATATAAAACAAATAAATAAAATAGATCTTCATATATATTTAAAAAAAACATGACAAAGAGAAATCACACACAAGTAGGAAACAGATTTATTTTTTAAAAAAACTGGAGGAGGCCAGACCTGGTAGCTCATGCCTATAATACCAGCTATTCAAGAGACAGCTGAGACAGGAAGATCACAACTGGAGGAAATGTTACTTGCAAAACAAAAATAAAATTAGATCTTCACCTCATACTATACACCAAAATAAATATCTGCAGAATCTAAAACCTATTTGATCTCTGAATTGGAAAGGCTTTTCTGAATATAGAAGCAACAGAAGAAGATAAGAATAGTGATTAATGATGTAGAAACTAAAAATGAGCATCTCCAAAAAAGAACAAGTCAATAAACCGAAGATACAATTTATCAAATTGACAAAAGAATAATATAGCTATTATAAAAGACAAGTTGATAAGAAAAACAATAAGATCCTCAATAGAAAAATGGAGAAAGTTTAAAAATAAGCCACAGAAAAGGAAATTCAAAATGCTAGAAAACAAAAGAGAAGAGGTTCAAACCAATTAGCAATCAAAGAAAGATGTGAATTAAAACAAGATGACATTTTCATCTATTAGCACAAGGTTTCTTATTGATACTCAATACTGGTAAAGATGTGGTGAGGCCACAATGGTAATAGTTTAAATTTGTACTTTTGTGGGAAGCAACTGGCAATATTCATCATGGTCTTTAATTAATTATATCTCAGCCAGGGGTGCTGGTGCATGCCTGCAATCCAAGCAACTTGGGAGGCTGAGGCGGGAGATCACAAGTTCAAGGCTAGCCTCAGCAAATTAGTTGAGACCCTGTGTCAAATAAAATAAAAAGGGATGGGGACATGACTCAGTAGTAAAGCACTCCTAAGTTAAATCCCCAGTATCTATCTATCTATCTTATCTATCTATTTTCATATCTCTATATCATAAATTTCATATCTGAGAATTTACAATAAGAAAATTATAAAAAGTAAAGCAAAATTTATTTTAATTTACAAATAATTATATATATTTGTAGTATACAAATAGATATAGCAAGATTTATTTTCAAAAGATGTTTGTGAAGTTGTCATAAAAGAGACAAATTGTGAATAATTAAAATAAATTAACAAAAAGATGGTTAAACAATATGAAATATCATATGCAGCCATTATAAGTCATAATATCAATAAGTATTTTCAACATGGGAGCTGCCTGTAGAATACTAAATGTAAAATCAAGAGTCAAACTATCTATGCAGAATGACCTCAACTCTATTAAAACTGCATATATTTGTATAAAATTGGCAAGAAAGGTACTAATGAATGGTGGCATTGATCGTAATTCAAATTTTCTTTATTCTTTTCCATATTTCCTATTTTGGCAAATTATATGCATTACGTTTATAATAACAACTAAAAACAAACAATAAATAAAAGCTTATGCAAGTTTCAGATTTGGGAAACATTTGGGGAAGGGAAAATAGCATAGTGGTTAAGAGTATGGACTCTGGATCAGCTAGACTTGGTCTTACATTCAATTCCACTCCTTGAATGAAACAGGAGAAATTAGTTCTGAAACCATTTTCTCAGTTTTAAATGAGGCTAATAGTATTTATCTCTGTCATAAAGTTGTGAGAATCAAATAAAATTCTGTAACCTACTTAGCTCACCAGTATCTTGTATTTATCAAGTGTTAAATAAGAGTTTACCCATTTAGTAAGTGTTCAATATCACTAATAGTATTCCAATAAAATAAAGGCTTCATAGGTAGGCTCAGGGTATATTTTATTTATGTTCATACTGCACCCTCTGGTGGTTTCACAAAGAAAAGGCTCTAGGCATACAACAACCTAATTTATAATAATTCATAATTCATAATAACTCATAATTGATATCCTTTTTAAATTTTTGTTTTTGGATTGGACATATTTTCCCCAGACTTATAAGACTTCTCTGCATATTAAGAAAATTAACATTAATGGGAAGAAAAGTTAAAATTGAAAAAATAAATAAATTAAGCCATTAAGTTTCATGTAAAGAAACTACTATTTGATCATTTTTATTTCAGCAGTAAAATACCATATTTTTAAATAATATTCTTCATGAGTATTTGAAAACCACAGAATTGGAAAATATTAAATTAGGACTAGATCATGAATAAGTCTGCATTGATGGAGCCTTTCAGATTTGTACTAGATTTGGTAAGTCTATGTTTGATTGTCTTTTTAAATTTGATTTCTTAAGTTGAAGTCACCACATTATAAACAATTTGGAAAGAAGGGAGGGAAATTACTCACAGCTTTCAAAGTACTGCTAATATTTAGTGTATTTTCATTTAAATAATAATGTAACTGCTGGATGTGGTGGTGCATGCTTGTAATCTCAGCTAAAATAGGAAGGCTAAAACAGCTGAGGTGGGAGAATCCAAGTTCAAGGTCAATCTAAGCAATTTAGGAAGACCCTATCTCAATATAAAATATAAAAATTGCTGGGGAGATAGCTTAGATCACCTATCTAACATATATGAGGCCCGGGGTTCAATTCCTACTAACTAAAAAGTAATATTAATATAACTGTTATTATAACTTTCATAAAATCTTTGTTTCCTTTCTGCAAGAATAGTATAGCAGAATAACTAAACACAGGCTCTGTAATTAAGCTGACCCAGTGCAAATCTTACTTCTACCCCACTTAAAACTTTGGGAAAATTATCTAATTTTTTTGTAAATAGGAATGGTAATAATGACAATACCAATCTCATTGGAAGACTGTGAAAATTAAATAGAAACACAATTACTGCTCAAAGATTGAATTGAGTATCAGTGAAGTATATAAATTCAATACCTTTTGGATAATTCTTTTTTGTTCTCTGTTGCTAGTTCACTGATTTTTATTTTATTTGATGCTATTTCCTCAGGCTGCAGATAGCAAAAGAAATCACATTTTTAAAATTCAGCACACCAATGACCCAATCAATACTTTTTTAAAAAAAAGAAAAAAAATTATATATATCACTCTTGAATACACATACATATATATGTGCATATACATATATATGTACATATATATATATTTCAAGAATCATAAAATATTTATACTTTAGGTCCATTCAATTTAGTTTGTTGGAGAAACCTACAAAATTTTGTACACACATGTATACAACTATATGACATATTTTTAGAGATATAAGGAAACCAGAACTTTTAAAATACCAGCTATAATTTATTAAGTGAGAAAATGAGTGAGAATAATGTTATTCTATTTTTAATTTTTTTAAATTTTCTCTAATATGATCATATTACTTTTTAGTAATAAAAATAAAGAAAAGTGTTACTAATTTAATTTTTTAAAAAATCTTGACTTAATCCTGGACTTCCTGTAAGCTATAAATCAAAAACAAGAATGCTGAACAAATATGTTTCTACGTAGAAGTGACAATAGTCAGCTTTAGAGTTGTAAAAGAACTAAAATTATACTAAGGTTTTCCAAAAGATTTTGTGAAAGTGACTCAGGTACTGATATCTATTACATAGTGTATTTACCTAATATATCATTAGGAAATTTCTATATTTACATCAGAAATCTACTCCAAACAATACTACTATTCCCCAAATTACTTTCCAGACTTATCCTTGATAAAGTACATTTTACTTATATGTTCTCTGTTTTAATCATTTTAATTGGCAAAATTGATCAATACTTTCAAACAATTGACAAAATCTTTTATAATAATATAATTTCTAGTCAACAGCCAATAAAGCATGTTATACTGTTTTTAGCTGTAAAAACATTGGATTGGGTTGAAGCTAAGAAATTTGGTTCCACTTTTGCTAACATATGGTTATGTGAACTAAAACAGGTCTTTCCTTTCTGTTTTCCTATTTGCAATAAGTTTTTTTATTTGTAATAAGTTTTCTTATTTGTAAAACTAAAAATTAATGATCTTTAAGGTTATTTTAAGCTCTATGAATCTGTTACTCAATACTTTGTCCAATAATAACCATTCCATCTTCACTCATCTTGGAAACAAGTCAAAGATTGGGTATTTTCATCTTTAGTACAACATACTATTACTTCCTAGCTAAAGAAACTGAAAGAACTATTATTTTCAGATGATGACAGTTTGAGAAAAAAAATTAAAAGGAGTATGAAATATTGTTGAGAGCCACAGCCGAGTCAGGATGGCGCATGGCATTTTGCCAGAAGGAGTGGTTGAGAGGTGATGCCATTAAGATGATGATAATTAAGTTAAGGTGTGTATAATTGCTGTGACTGGATAATGCTGGATTGAAACAGGGTGTGTATTCAGTTGTATATAGACCCTTGCTGTCTGGCGGATCCCGAAATAGGGCTGCTCCTGCTGCCTCAGGCACCCGCTACTTTTGAGTTCTCCTGGAGTTCCCGTTGAGTTCCCACAGAGCCCCAGAGAGGGCGGAGAGAGTTCCCAGGGAGTGTGCGTGGAGTGCCGGAGGAGTTCGGGCAATAAAGAAGTTCCTGTTTGAACCTATAAGTGCCTCGTGGCGGCTTGGTTTCTTTGAGCCCAGCAATATATATAAGTCTGGCTTTGGGCAAATTATAAAGATTTTATTCCTTTTTATTGTGAAAAAATTTTAACTTACCCAAAACTTTAAAAATAGTATAATACTACATACCTTTCATCTAGATTTAGATTTTTGCCACACTGAGTACCCTCTCTTTTTTACATTTTAGCTTGTCTATTGGATAAAAATTGGTAAAAATTGTGACATTTACATTCCTCAGTACCTAACATTAATTTTCTTTAAAAATGTATTATCATACTTAAGAAAATTAATATTAATTTGATATTATTTTTTGTCCATCAAAAAATTTTTCTAGTTGCTCTCAAGATGCCTTTTACAACCTTCCTGTTGTTGTTTTCAAAAATACAAAATCCACCCTAAGTACATGCATGAAGACACGAAGGATGTGACTCTACTTTGTGTAGAACCTGAGATATGAAAAGTTGTGCTTTATATGTGTAATATGAATTGCAGTGCATTCTGTTGTCATATTAAAATTTAAAAAATTTTAAATACAAAAGCCAATTGAGTTTTAAATATCACATTTGGTTGTTGGATCAATATAGAACAGTCTTCTTGCCTTTTTTGTTTTTTATGACTGTGTAAAGAGTCCAGATCAGTTAGTTGACTCAAAGTATATAATCCATATTCTGGATTTGTTTGATTAACCCTGAATTAGATTCAGATTAAAAGCTTTGAACAAGAATGCTACACAACTAATACTGTATACTTAAATCACACCAGACTGAACATAATGAGAGGTTATTCCAATATTGGTGATGCTGAACTTGATAAGGTATTATCTTCCAGATATGTCCATTTAAAAAATTCATTGCTTGCCTTTAAAATTAATAAGTAATCTCTGAATGACAATTTGAGATCATGGTTTTAGCATCATTTAATGACCCTTGCCTAGATTATTAGCTTGAGGCTATAAAATCAGGATTTTTCTCTGCTGTCATCCCTCCTATATTTTTTAGCTATTATTATTTTGTAATGAAAATGTTCCTTATCCCAGCATTTCTTTCCTTCTTTCTTTCTACCCATTCTTCCTTTCTTCCTCCCTTGTCTTCCTTTTGTCCTTTTTCTTTTTCTGTTTTTGGAGTATCATTATGGACTAAAGGATTCTTTTTTATTTAATGTATCAAAATTTATTATTGTCATTATTCTTTTTGATGCTCAAATTATCCAAAGTTAGCAACTGCATAAAGATTTTGAAGTCAAAAGGTAAATTTGAGGCAGGATGGCAAAAACTAAAAAGCCGTATTATGCAGTTATTGAAGAGTGGTACTCAAAACATTCAACAATTAATAAATCAGAATTGATACCAGCAGTGAGGAACTAGTAAAAATACCATGCACCTATTGTTATCTTGATATTACTGATTGAAGAAAATTTTCAAACTTCTTATGTTAATAGTTTTATTTTTACAAAATACCTCAATTTTAACAATGTGCTATTATAAAAAAGTCAAACCACATAATATTCAATGAAATTAAACCCTTTAAATTCCTTAATCTGGCTCATAAGTGCTACATATCACAAGTCAACATTTTTAAAATTACACTGCTTTAAGAAAATTTTGATACTGCAGATTCTAATCAACTACTTTAATGTACTCTTACCTTTTCTATCAGAAAATCCTGGTCTTGTTCCCAAATAAAACTACCAATTTTTCTTCTTATTTCTGTGGTGAGAAAAACAAGTCCAATACTATTTTTTTAAAGTTAATTCTGGGGGCTAGTGTTGTGGTTCAGCAGTAGAGCACTCGCCTTGAACACACAAGGCTCTGGATTTGATCCTCAGTACCACATAAATATAAATAAATAAAATAAAGATGTTATGTTCAACTACAGCTAAAATTAAAAAAATAAATATTTTTTTAAAAGTAACTTCTGAATTTTGCATGAAGTCTGAAATTTTTAGGTCAGCCTTATTTCCTGGTATCAAACTCACCTAAAATACTCATATTGTGATTCATATTGAATCAGATCATTAAGGGACAGCTCAGAAATTTTCATTTCTAACAAACTCCCCAAATGATTTCAATGCATTTTGAGAATCATTGTTGTAGTTTTTTTTTTGTTTTTCTACTGGAATATATTTGTTCATTAGATGTTAGCATCTCTATTAGGTCAAATGTTATTAAAGAGGATGATTGTCTAATCAAAATTAAAAGTATAAAATTGTGGAGTTTGTAGAGCAAGGATTTTCAAAAATTAATTTATTAAAGGAAAAGATTAAAAAATATATCTAATAGGCAGAAATTTACAATACTCGGTATGTTAAAGGACTGCGTCATCTCCTCAATAATCTCAATAATTTCAATAAGTCTCAAAAGTTTCCAAAGTAGCCCACTAGAGAACAAAAAAAGGTAGCCATTTGCTGTCCAGTATGGTAGCAAGTTGCTAAATATAGGAACTGAGTATTTAACATGTATGACTATTACAAATTGAGATGTGCTGTTAGTATAAAGTAACATTGGATTTTGAAGATCAAATTTTTTAAGGATCAAAAAGAATAAATTATGTCAATAATTTTATATTGCAACATTTTGGATATGTTAGGCTAAATAAAATACTCTTAAAAATATAAATACATATAAATATATTCTTAAAATTAATTTCACCTATTTATTTTTCTTTTTAATGTGGCTACTAAAATACTTAAAATTCACATGTGGTTCACATTCACATCTCACACTTCCAGTAGACCATACTCAAGTAGATAAATATGTATACTTTTTTATTTTTTTAGAATTTTTTAAAAAATACATCTTTCAAAATTTAAGAACATGTTAATATAAGATGCTAATTTCAAAGACAGAATAGAAATGATCATTTTATATCAGGTTAGACAGTCATTCTACAATATAAATTCCTTATTAGGTATTCACTAATTGATACAAATAGTTTTTGAATAAATCTATTTAGTCATTATTTGTATAAGCATTTGTAATGATTTGGGAATATAAGTTATAATTAGGTCTAAGTAGGACAGCAAGTATAGAAGAAGCCAATCTTTGGAAATTTCTAAATGCTCTTCTATGAAAATGTCTGAACTTTTAAAATTTGTTTTGCTTTTGTTTTTTAATATTTTAAGTTGTACATAGACATAAAAACTTTATTTTTTAAGTGGTTCTGAAGATCAAACCCAGTGCCTCACAGGTATTAGGCAAGGCTCTTCCATTGAGCTACAACCCCATGCTTTTATTTTAATACTGTCCCCAATTGGGAATTTGCAAACAGCTTTCAATTTGTCTTTCCAGAGATAGACACATATCTACTGGGTAATATGTAGGTCAAGAGTTGGCAATAATGCAAGACCTATTAAAAAGTGGGATATTAAAGTTAACTCAAAAAAGAAAGGGTGTTCCAAGCAGGGCAACCTGAAAGAAAACATTTCAGAAATACTTTATTTATATGCCATTCCTACATCAAAGGGTTGTTGAAATAAATGTGTTGAAATAAAAATGTGTCGAAACAAAAGCATAAAGCATAAAAAATACAAATATATGAGTTTATTTTCATAATGAATCTTTTAAAAATTCAGAAACATAATGAAAAGATTCAAAACTAGCAAAGAAGACAATATTAAATGCTCACCGTTGGATTCTAGTCAATGAGCATTTGAGAACAAGATCTTTATCTGCCTTATTCACCGAATCCCTGTTTCTGCATTGGAACCTGGCATATAGGAGATACTCAGTGAATGTATGAATGCTAAATGAAGCCAGGATAGATATTCATGGCAATCTCATCTGAAGTCCATGGTTTTCCCATTTATATTATGTGATACAAAACAAAAATATTTGAGAACAAAGGTAAGTTGAATTTGGCTGTCTAGCAGGAATTAGCTGGATTTGGCTAACAGAGATTGGTTGAAGGATCTTGCTAACCTTTTTGTAGACATGAAGGAGGAAGAATGAAATGACCTAAAGCCACCGAGTTTTTAATTTCAGCATTGGCTACTGCAGAGAGATAGTAGGCATGAAAAATTGTAGCATTATCTTCTATGTAATCAAGGCTTTCATATATTCTAAGAGAAAGAAAGGAAATCACTTAAGATTATAAAATAAACGAGAATGTATTCAACCTTTCAAAAGAAATAATAAAACAATAGAAGACTGACATTTTTTTCCCTCCTGACAAAGAAGAAAAACATGGCATATTGCTTATTTAGGGGGCCTACATCTAGACAAATCTCAGCTTTAGAGAAGTCATCAATTATTATATAAATTTAGAAACTTGACCTCAGATGATACTGTTTAACGGGACCTAAACAGTGGATTGAGAGCCAGCAGCCTGCAAATTTTACCCATAGTCTTTGCTGTAAAGAACTTAGTTAATTCCGAGGTAGGGTGTGGGCAGGCAGTCAGGGAAGCCTTCACATATAGAAAGCAACATCCTTCCTAGATCTGTAAAAAGGTGGAAAGAAGAGGAAGGGCATTAGAGAAAAAAGAATGACAAACACGAAGGCACAGTGACACCTTAGACTGGACTTATGGAAGGAATGAGGGAGAAACTGGGAAATAAAGAAGGTGGGCTCTAGCCAAAAATCTAAATCTGTAGGTAATCAGGAAGGGAGAAGGGGAATAGAAGTGGGGAGGCCCGTGAGCAGATCTGTGCTTTACAAACATAATGTGGGAGCAACGCGAAAGGAGATTTTGGAGGACAGATTCCAGGCAAAGGAAGCTCTTGGAAAGCTACTGTGACGGTCCAGGCAAATGCGCCAGGTAATCAGAGACCTCCAAAGACAGGGGCCTTGAGGATGAAAAAGTTACATCTAAAACTGTTTCCAGTCTCCCTCTATCATAGATATTTATTAGCTGGCTGCAACTTCCATCCCTGACTCTGGGCTCGTCGTGACAAGAGGCACTGCCAGGCGGCTCTCAGGTACCTCAGGGTGTCTGGGTGCGAGGCGTCACAGCTGAACAAGAAGTCTGCGGCCCGCGAGTCGCTGACTGTTCCCCCTTCGGCCACTATGGAGACAAAAGCACAGGATAAGCCCAGCAGGCACGCTAGGACCGAGGCATCAGGAGGAGAGGTGCTCCTCTCCCCGCCTCAAGCACCTCTTGCACCCATCTTCCTACCCCAGAACTGCCTCAGCTCTCGGCTGACGCTACCGCTAAACCAACCGCTCTGCCCTTGAAACATGGCGCTGCCTCCCCGTCGAGGACCTGGGGAAGGGGCTGGAGCTGAGATCGCTGATTGGTCCCAGGTCCCCAGCTGAGCTCGATGATTGGTTCCCAAGAGCAAAGGGCGGGACGCGCCTGAAGTGAGCGCCGCCGGGAGTTTCAGTACCCGACCGCTGAGGTACGGGAGCGACCGGAAGGTTGCAGTCGCTGGTAAGTTTTAAACACTAAGTGTTGATCAAGTATTGCGCTTCTTACAGGCGACGGCTCAAGTTCTGCGGCATCCACTATTATTCTGAAGCAAAACTCATTTTATCATCTCATTTATAAGTGTTTCACTTTCTATCTCAAAAGATGAAGAAGACTTAAAAAAAAGCCACAATACTATTACCACAACTTTAAAATTTTTTCTTTAATACAAATAGCACCAGTGCTCAAATTTCCAGTTTTCTGAAAATATGGTGTTTTTCCTCTTACAATTAGTTCTCCCTCCCATTATGTCAGTTTTGGTTTTCTGATGTTGGATCCCTTTAATTAAAAATTTCAAAATCGTTGGTAGAAAATTATCCTAAAATCTCTTATCTTTTTTAATGTCTGCAAGCTCTGTAGGCATGATTTTTTTGTTCTTTTTTTATATTATTTTTATCTTTTTTTTTAAATTTCCTAATCTCATCAGAGGTTTGTCAATTTTATTAGCTTTTTCTAAGAACTTCTGGTTTTGTTGACATTCTCCTTACATATTTCATTTCTGTATCAATTTTAGTTCTATATAATTATTATATACTTTTCTTGATTTTAAATTGCTACTCTTTTTTCTAATTTCTTGAAACAGATGGTTTTGTTTTAATTCTTTTAGTTGTAGATAGACACAATACATTAATTTTTATGTGGTGCTGAGGATTGCCTCACATGTGCCAGGCAAGTGAGCTACAACCCCAGCCTAGCTGGTTGGTTTTTATCCTTTATTTTTCTAATATATGCATGTAAGGTTATAAGTTTCCTCTTAAACTATAAGCCACACATTTATGAGATGTCATTTCTTATTTATGCTCAGTTCAAAATATTTTCAGATTTCCATTATGAATTTTTTTGGCTCACAAATTATTTGAAATATTTTAAAATTTCCAAATACATTTTCTAATTATCTGGTTTTGATTTATGATTTAAATGTATTAAATAAAAAGAAAAATAAATAGGCTGTGCATGGTGGGTTATTGCTTTGTTGTTGTTTTTCCGTACTAGGGATCAAACCCAGGGCCTCATATATGATAAACAAGTGCTCTGCCACTGAGCTACATTTTCAGCGCTTTTTATTTTCATTAAGTTATCCAGTTTGCCCTCAAATTTGCAATCCTGCCCCATCCTCCCAAGTAGCTGGAATTACAGGTGTGTGCTACAGTGCCTGGTTTGGTTTATGTGAATTAATCCTTTGAAATTTGCTTATATTTTCTTTATAATTATATGATCAGTGTCCTGTTGTTTAAAAAGAATGTTCTAAGTTGTTAGATGTTCTAGGATATTGGTTACAGTGTTTTATGTATGCTAATTGGGTCAAGTTTGTTAATTTTATTGTCTGACGTTCTGTTAATTACTGAGAAATCCATGTAAAGATCCTGCCCTTTACTGTGGATTTATCAATTTCTTGTACTGTCTGTAAACTTTTGCCATATATATTTTGAAGTTATGTTGTTAGGGACATGCAAATATATACTTGTTATTACTTTTTAATTTGTTAAACAAATTAAGCATTCAAATATGAAAGGCAAACTTTAAAACATATAGAATAGAACAGGGGAGATCTTTCTGGCCCCAAGATAGAGGAGGATTTTTAAAACAAGACACAACAAGTATTAACCATGACAGAAAAAAAGATGCATAATATAACTCACTATAATTATATAAAGATACATAATGAAGTCACCATAATTAATGAATATAAAAGGCAATAAATGGGGGAAGATACCTGTGTGCAAAGAATTAGTATCCAGAATATGTAAATAAAACTATGAATCAAAAAGAAAGCTTAACAATCCAATAGAAAAATGGGCAAACACAATGGTAGTTAGGAAATGTGGACTACAACCAAGAAGAGATAATGTACCTACCTTATTAGTAAAAACTGAACTGGCAAAGACATAGATCATAGAAATTTCCACTTCCAATGAAAATGTAAATCTACACCATCACCTTAACAATTCAGCATTACTTAAAGATGTATGCACCCTATGAGTCAGCCTTCATCAGATATACACCTAGAGAAACTCTTGCACTAATGCACATATATACCAGTACACATATACCAGAATGTTTATGGCAATGTAACAAAAGGGAAAAAATGGAAACAACTATTCATCTACAGAAGATTAGATATTTAAATTGCTGCATTTTCATACAGTGAAATACAGTAGTCCCCCTTATTAACAAGGAGATACTTTCCAACATCCAGAAAGTATCTCCTTGTTAATAAGAAATCATAGATAGTACTGAACACTGTATATATTGTTTTTTCTATACATACATGACTGTTATATAGTTTAATTTATAAATTAGGCAAGTTGATTAACAACACCAATATTAAAATGGAATAATTATAAAATATACTGTAATTAAAGTTATATGAATGGCTTTTCTCTCAACTAGTATAGAGTGGGTAGTATATATAGTGTGGATATGCTACTGTGGACAGAGGAGGACACAAGATTTCTTCACTAAATTGTAATTTTATACTTAAGAATTGCATATGTAGTCACATCAATGTTTATAGAAGCTCAATTCATAATAGCCAACCTATAGAACTAATCGAGGTGCCCTTCAACAGATGAATGGATTAATAAAATGTGACATATACACACAATGGAATATTACTCAGCCATAAAGAAGAATGAAATTAGGCCAAATGTTCTCTCTGATATGTGGATGCTAACTCACAACAAGGGAGGTAGGGAGGAGAGGAATAGGTGTTCATTGGATTAGACAAAGGGGAATGAAAGGAAGAAAGGGGGCATGGGAATACAAAAGACAGTAGAATCAATCAGACATAACTTTCCTTTGCTCATAAATGAATACACAACTGTATAACTCCACATTATATACAAACACGAGAATGAGATCCTAATTGGAATGGGTTGTACTCCATGTATGTATAATATGTCATAATATACTATACTGTCATGTATGTCTAAACACAACAAATAAAAATTAAAAAACAATTACTTTGTCCGTAATTTTCCCTTAATATTTTCAGACGAGGGTGGGGGATATAGCTCAGTGGTAGTGCGCTTGCCTAGCATATGCAAAATCCTGAGTTCGATCCCCAGTACCACCAAAAAAAAGTAAAAGTTTAAAGACTTCAAACAAGGTTATCAATTAAAAGCTTCTTAATTTGTAGCCGGGTACAGTGACACACACACCTGAGAGAGGAGGATTTTGAGTTCAAAAACAGCCTCAGCAAAAGTGAAGTGCTAAGCAACCCACTGAGACCCTGTTAGGCCTGGGGATGTGGTTCAGTGGTTGAATGTCCCTGAGTTCAATCCCCAGTACTAAAAAAAAAAATTTAAAAAAAATATATAAATAAAAAAAAATTATATATATAAATTTTTTTCAGACCACAGTTGACCATGGGTAATAAAACCATGGCAGGTGAAACCATGAATGAGAGGTGGAGAGCTACTATGCAACATAATTTCAAATTTTATAAAAGCCAAGGAAGACATACAGCATGATTCCATTCATTTTCGAGTTCAAAAAAGAGGAAAAATGAAACCATATTTTATACCTGTAGTATCCTGAGTATAGAAAAAATTCAATAGTGAACAAATTATTTTTATTTATTTGTTTTAATTTTTTGTGGTGCTGGGGATTGGAAGGGCCTAAGTAGGTGTTCTGCCACTGAGCTATTTTGTTTCTTTTTTTTTGTCTTTTTTATTGATTTTTTAATCAATAAAAAATTCTGACAGCAGAATGCATTACAATTCTTATTACACATATACAGCACAATTTTTCATTTCTCTGGTTGTATATAAAGTATGTTGACACCAATTTGTGTCTTCATACATGTACTTTGGATAATGATGTCTATCACGTTCCACCATCCTTGCTAATCCCCTGTCCCTTCCATTTCCCTCCCACCCTTCTGCCCTATCTAGAGTTCCTCTATTCCTCCCATGCTCCCTCTCCCTACCCCACTATGAATCAGCCTCCTTATATCAGAGAAAACATTTGGCATTTGTTTTTTGGGATTGGCTAACTTCACTTAGCATTATCTTCTCCAATACCATCCATTTACCTACAAATGCCATGATTTTATTGTCTTTTATTGCTGAGTAAAATTCTATTGTGTATATATGCCACTTTTTTATTCATCCACTGAAGGGCATCTAGTTTGGGTCCACAGTTTAGCTATTGTGAATTGTGCTGCTATAAATATTGATGTGGCTGTGTCCCTGTAGTATGCTGTTTTTAAGTCTTTGGGTATAGACTGAGGAGAGGGATAGCTGGGTCAAATTGTGGTTCCATTCCCAGATTTCCAAGGAATCTCCATATTGCTTTCCATATTGGCTGCACAAATTTGCAGTCCCACCAGCAATGTATGACACTGAGCTACTTACTATAAATTGTTTTTAAAAAGAAAAAAAAAAGCTGACACAAAATGTAGTAGAGGAGCTGGAAATTGTAGCTCAGTGGTAAAGCACTTGCCTGCCAAGTGTGAGGCACTGGGTTCAATCGTAGCACCACATAAAAAAGAATAAAGCAGGGCTGGGTTTGTGGCCCAGTGGTAGAGTGCTCTCCTAGCATGCTTGGGGCACTAGGTTCGATCCTCAGCATCACATAAAAATAAAATAAAGATATTGTGTCCACCTAAAACTAAAAAATAAATTTTTTAAAAAAAGAATAAAGGCATCGAGTCCATACACAACTAAAAAAAAAACATAGTGGATACCTCAGGGTTAAAAAGGCATAGAAAGGCTTTCAAAGATTTTGTTACTATTCTTTTTCCATCACCAGGAATTGAATATTTTTGTTTTATTCTCTAAAAACTGTACATTACATATGCATTACCTGCACTCTTCAGTGTGTATTTTAAATTGTAAATTTTTCTTGGGGTACTGGGGATTGAACTCAGGGTCACTCAGCCACTGAGCCACATCCCCAGCCCTATTTTGTATTCTGTTTAGAAACGGGGTCTCACTGAGTTGCTAAGCACCTCATCATTG